ATAAATAATATATTATTAGTTTGTACACACTATTAGTTTATAGTGTCCAATAAATTGTATTGGTATGGTACTAAATTAACATATACCAGCACGCAGGTATGACTGCTGTATGAACTACACTTGACAATGTTTTACGTGCCTTTTCAATTAAAATATAATGATGAAATCTGTTATAGAAAATGCCTACAATAGAACATATACAGTTGGGTAATGTCCCGATTATTACTAGCACTCCCTACCACTGCAGTCCGTTTCCAAAAGAGATGAAAGGATATACAAAAGATGTTTTATTATGTTTTTTAATTAATCACAATGGGAATTTAAATCGACTTCTTATTCTTTCTTTTATTAAATTATATCGACTGTTTAGTGCAGAGATGTCCAGTGAAATAAAAAGGTTAGTTTAAAGAGTTTGACAATATTTACTTTAGAATTTACAACCTATTTGTCTTATGGGGCGGAATAACCTCAAGTTATATAAGTGACACTACGTTATACGATCGACGACGTAAGGCCCCTTTGTTTACTAATGACCAACTGTCTATGCAAATCACCTCCCACTGAATCGGCAAAACAAAACTCTTCTACTAACAAAATAGTTCATTTTAGTTAGACGGCCTCTAAGCGGTTGACCTATTCGATCAAATGCCGAAGGTGATTTCCCTAGGTAGTTGGTAATATTTAGATCGAGTCGTATACCTTGTGACTATAAACTAGTGACCATAAAAGCTACTAAAATCTCTGCCTAAATCACATTTCAATCCAAATGGTCATGGAATCAACATCGAAAAGAGTGCCCGAGGCTACGTCAGCGGAAAGTTGGAACATGGTGAGTCTCTCAAAATATTACAAAGATCATATGCAACATATAACGTTTGTGTCATTTACTGTAGCATATGATATGTTTTTTGTCTCTGGTTTTTAGCAAATTTATGTCGATCGGGCATACACCAATTCAGATTTCCGAGATTGAAAATCATCAATTTAAAATACACAAAATTTTATTATTTTCTAACACGAAGTTAAAATCGGCAACCCTGTTGAAGAAAAGTGAAAATAAATTCACTTATTGCCTAAAGAAATTCCTAGAGTTCCTAGAGTTGGCGTGATTTATCAACAATACACATTTTTGAGAGGTACTATTTTCTTGTCTAACCCATTCTATGAGTGAAAGAACCCCTGGTCCAGTGTGAGTTATGTGGGTGTCCCTCTCAATTGCAATAATCAGGCCTTACACTGTGACAGATGTACAGGTGGATTAGCTATGTTAGTCTCTACCTAATACGACTTGTGTGCATTTCAGTGTAGAATCCCTCATCGACTTTGACTCACTGAGGATGTGACGGAATAACCTAAGGAAATCATTAATTTGATTAAACAGTGAAAACCAGAAACATCTCATGTCTTTGATGGTATATTTATTAAACACTTTAAGAATACATCGGTTTATTTTCTATTTTGTTATTCTTGTGTTTTCCATCACTTTTGGTTCACTGTTATGTGCCCACACAACTTATGTCGACTGTCTCGATTACAATTCCTAAAGATCCGGAGAGAATATCTGCGATGTACGTAACCATCAAAACCATGAACCATCTGTCTCACACAAGCTACAGCAATGCCTAATTAAACAACATTCAATTTAAATGTAATAAAGTTAAATGAAGATGATCTACCTCTTTGACTATTTAGGAAAACTAGTTCTGGCAAACAAATCTTGTGTTCATGTAATATTTTAACTAACTTGAGTATGAACCAATTATTTGTGATAGCATGGTGACCATTCTTGCATGAGTATAATGTCTTTTGAGTTAATCAATGGGTCTAATGTTATGTTGATATGCCTATTCATGTAACACCACCTGTTCTGTGGCTCCAGCTGTAAAATATTTGTCATAAATTATGTACAGTAGTCGTAGCATACCCAGACGGGGTATGCCTTTGACGTGTCGCAACGCGGGACGAGGGATAGTTGGACTATTCCATTACTTTGTGGGTACAACTATCATTGTTTTGTACCAATTGGGAGAAATATAATACAAAAATAAAACTGGGAATGAATATTAACAAGAAATGAAAAATGTAAATTCCTTTGACTGGTTGTTTATAGTTTCTAACATACATTAAATTGAAGATGATACGTTATTGTGGAGGTTGACCTCGACCTCGTGTCAATGATTATTGCAATACAGATTTGTTCTAACGATTAGTCTTAACATTCAATGGGGTTTTGGCAGATATGATAAACGTTTTGTTAAATACAATATCATTGTTGTTAATATGATATCATATGAATATGATCTTTGGTATCAGAATCACTTGTCTAATGCATATGTCAAGTTTTGTACAGACAACTATTAGGATTCAGAATGGTATATGGCGGTTTTCGAAGAACCTAGCAAAGGAACTAAACAACTTTTGTTGATGACGTTCTGCAGTATACATCTCAGGTCTTGTAGATTGTTTGTGGGTGGCTATTCAGTCAATTGTTCCCGTACAGGTGTTGAAGGTTACATATAAAAATAACCTATAAGCTAATAATCAAACCTTGTTTCTTGGCGAATATTGTGCCGATTTACTCATAGTGCGATGTCTAGAGATATCAGATATCGCCTATCACAAATGAGTCTTTTCACATTCAGCTGCCATTTGAATAGTACATTCAATGTCACGTAGTATTCATTAAACACTCAAAACAATCACAATCATGATTCAATTAAACTAATACGCTTCTTTTTTAGAAGGACGACACAAGAGCTTCACACAAGATTCGAAACTACGGCATATTATTGGTCACTTTGATAGTTGATCGCGATATTAGTAATATACGTCAATGGTAAGTAGCGTTTGTGGTAATTAGTTACAGTGACAACTGAACGTTGACATGAAATATTGTACACATGAGCAATTGTGCAATCTATTACTCATATCAATACTATTACTCATAGTTTTTCGTGTCAAAATTAATATTTTAATCTTTTTCGTGAGAAAATCATTTCTTTCTCATTGTTAATTTTGCCAGATCTCGTGGACCCTTGTCAGCGCCAAGGAGGAAACGACAATGCGCCAGGTATGGAGAGAAAACGGCAAAATAAAGTATTGTTATTATAACATGAATACTTTAATTTGAATATGTATATATTAAAAATACCATAAAATACACAGGAGTCTATGGATACAATGGATGTGCGCAGGGAAAAAATGGTTTCTGCTCAACATAATAGAGCACGTACAATATACCATTGCACGATCGGTCTATACAGGATGAATGGCGCCGCTGAGCAGCACATCTCGTTCATACAGATAGTCGATATGAAGAATGTAGCCATTTAACATATTGTTCTTGGCTAAATCAAAATAACGCGTGGTATGACACAAAAAAACTTGTTGACATAGAGATGTGAATTCTTTATTGTTGTCGAATACGAAATTGTGTTGTGGTGATTATCGTCGAACATCATACTATTCGATTTGTTTTCAATTCTGATTAAAAATATATCTCAAACTAATATAATTTTATATATGACATTTCTCACACGCTTCAAATCGCAATGTATTCTATATATGTTCAATACAAATCTCTCAATGATTTGAATATGTAGTGTTGATGATGTTTTCTTTTCTGCATGTGGATTATTTTGTTAAGTATTGTCAGTCATTTGTTTTGTGCTATTGTGAATTTTCGTTATCCGACTTTTGTTTGAAAATCTACGGTTGGGTATGACATTCCTACCATACGCTTTTACAAACATACTTTAATATC